TGGCTGGAATAAGAACTAAAGCATTTACACCAAATTTGGGTAGAAGAATGCTTCTGGTCAGTTTTGTGACAAGTAACAGTGTATAATTATGCACCTGGACATTTTCTGGAGAAGGTGAACTAACCATAAAGAAGGATGAGAATTTCTCAGTGAGGAGAAGCAGTGTGTTGGTGGGGGAGGAAGGGCTGGTCTGTGGTTGGTGGGAATTAAAGCTTGACTAATTTGTGGCACTGGTGGTCATTTCTCTAGGAAAAGGTGAGAAAGTAAGGGAGTTGGTCTGGAAATAACCAGGAACAGTTTGAGGGCAAAGGAAAACCTACAATGTCTTCAAGGAGAAGTCTTAACCTGGAAGGTTTAGTGGAGAATTTTTAAATGCCCCCAGGAAAAGTCCTTTGAGGTAAAGCCTTTGTAACATGTTAATGATAGAACAGTTTTCTTCTAAGGGATAAATCTAGGCCAATGCTGGGGATGTTTGCAGGCCAAGGAAGGGTTAGCATTTTTATGTATTCTGGGAATAACAGAAAATGAGCATTATTAAGATGGGTACAAAAACTGCACACCATCCACCTCCGATGATTTGCTCACGATACAGGTTGAGGATGTAAGCCTGATGGGCACCTTTCGTGATTGTAAACCTGCAGGATTCCTCTGTTCTGTTTGTACAATTGCCTCTTGCCTGTACAGGCCCCACACGAACACAGTAAATTCCCATCCATCTCAAGGACAGCCAGCCACAGTTCGTTAGGATCCAGTCTAGCGCCTTCTAATAAAACACAAGTAAACATCTGGTATTCTGTGAGCCAAGGTTCACCTGGCAGCAACTTGCATTCCAGTTGCCAAATTATCAAGGCATATTGATAGCATGTCTGATTAATTTTGGACTGAAGACATTTGTAGAATTCAATGTCTTCATCACTAGCTGTAGTGGTGCAAAAATTTGGCTAAGTTTTCTGTTGACTACATTTCCTTGTATGCCTATCAAGGCCACTGCTTTTGAATCTGTTGTTCCCATGGTAAATAAGCCATAGGATTTTCTGATTCAAAATGGCCAGTGCCCCTCCATTTCAGTTAACAAAATCTTTATGCATTCAATTTCACTATATAACTTCCAATTTTTCTAGATTCATACTTTGTAAATTCTAAGTTCCAATGACTAGATTTTTGCAGCTGTTCTTATTTTGGGTGATACCCCATCAGCAAATGTAGGTCCTGAAGGGTTTCACAAATTTTCCAACATTTGCATCATGGTGGACCCTACTTTTGAGAAGGCAGCTCTTTCTCAGTCATGGCTTGAGTGCCTCCCAGTCCTCGGGTTCATCTGGAACTGACACTTCTGCTTCTAGTCACGCCATCTTCAGATCTGACGATGTTTGACAGTTCCTATAAGGTTTTCAGTGGTTAATTCCTCAGAAGTGGACAGCCTACTCCTTCATAGTCCTTTCTTAGTACGAACCTGTGCTGAACCCTGTTCACTTTGGATGGCTGAGCTAGCCTTTGAAATACCACTGACAGCACCACGTACATCATAATATGAGGCATATCTTGCTTTTGAGGGCCTGGATCAATCATAAATAAGGATTCCTATTCATGGCAAATTTGAATTTTATTTTTGTTTTTCTTCAGACTTTTATTTTTTAATCAATTTATTGGGGCGCATACAATTCATCACAATACATAGATCGATTGTGTAAAGCACATCTATACATTTGTTGCCCTCATCCCCAAAATTCGCTTTCCTCTTGGGTTCCTGGAATCAGCTCATTTTCCTTTTGTCCCCTCTCCTCTCCCCCATGCACCCTTGATAATTTATAAGTTATTGTATCTTATATTACACTGCCTGGCGTCTTCCTTCACCCACCCCTCTGCTGCCCGCCCCCCAGAGAGGAGGTTATATGTAGCTCCCTGTGATCAATTCCCCCTTTCTACACCCCGCTTCCCTCCTGGTATCGCCACTGTCACCCCTGGTCCTGAGAGGTTCATCTGTCCTAGATTCCCTGCGTTTCCAGTTCCCATCTGCACCGCTGTGCATCATCTGGTCTAACCAGGTCTGCAAGGCAGAATTGGGGTCCTGGTAGTTGGGGGGGCAAATTAGAATTTTATAAAGGTACCTATAAACCTAAACCGTCTAGCGTAAGTTCTAGGATTTAAGAAGAAAAAACTGCCAGAGTCCAGTATAACTCATGGTGACTAAGATTGGCTGCTCTGAGTTTGCAAGACAAATTTTTTTGTTAGAATCATTTTTTATTCAGAAAAAGTTTTCCAACCACACATGGAGGTGTCGATCCAGCTCAGCCCCCCCCCCCACATATGGTTTTGGCAACAATAAGGAGTGTGCGGTAAATGGCACCCAAAAGGTGGGGTGGGGGGAAGACAGACAAGGTCAGTACTGGGAACACCACCGGTGGGAAGCCATTTCATAACCCTTCTGGGTCAGACCACTGGACACCTTTGGCCATCGGCAGAACTGGCGTCTGGGTAGTCATGAAGTTGAGGTGGGGGCTCCGCCAGAGCTCATCATGGTGTATTCCGTCCAGCAGCAGCGAGTCCCGGATCATAGGACATTTCTAGCCCCCACGTGTCAGCCTGTTCACGAAACAACTTGGCCGGTCGTAGCCAACAGGAATCCCAACCTCGGCTGGCGTGATTGAGAGGAACGTTTCCCTGGGGACAGCGGCTCAGACAGATGGTGTGTCTGTAGCCCGCCGTGGCCACGTCCTGACAGGTGTCTGTCACGAGGTTGCCCATGAATGTAGGCGTGCCACGCCGCCATGGCGTTGCTACCTGGCCTGCTTCTCCGGACTGTTTCTGCTGGGGCTGCAGGGCTGAGCTTGGGCTGCCTCCTGCTGCGTGGGGGTGGGGGTGGGGGGAAGCTTGGGCATGATCTGCTGCCTATCTGTGTCAACAAAATGTGTTTTAGGGGAGTAGAAAGCCTCGTCTTTCCTCCTTGAAGCGACTGGTAGTTTTGAACTGCAGACCTAACACAACTGTTGTGTCTACAGGGCTCCTTGTATTCTAGGATGGAGGCACAAAAAGGCATCGTGATCTATAACAAGTAGACTTGTACTTGATTCTAGAAATAACTGGAAGGAACCTCAGGAAACAAGGAAAGGATCGTCCCTACATCTAAGACTCTTGGGGTATATGCCCTCTTAGGAAGAAGACAAAGGAACTGTGTATTCATTTCTAGTGCTTCATGATAGCTGGTGATTCAGGTCTGTGTTATCCAACATACAGTACCTTAAGCCTTGGAATGTGGGTAACATGACAGACAATTACTGTTACTGAGCTGGTAAATTTGCATTTAAAATTGCATATAAAATAGCCCTGCATTCTAGTGGCCACTATAACAGCTGTAGAACTCTAACAAAAACTAGGGTTTTGCAAGTGCACCATGCTACTCTTCAGAATACTGATTTAAAATCCTATTCCTGAACCTGATGTGCTCATCTCTGATTGTATCACATTTTCAGCCTATTCCACCTAAAGGCTTATAGTTTATTGTATGGAGATGGCATTCTGGTAGTAGCTAGGAATGTCGTTTTGTAGTATCTACTCATTATTTTCCTGCCCCTTCCCCCCTCCTTTTTTCAAACGTAACTTCTTTCGGTTCTTTAGCTTGGCCCACTGAAAGTTATAAACGGCACTGGCCGTTTGAGAAAGGCCTTACTGAATGATGTCCAGAGCCTGGCTCCGCTTTTGAGTAAACTCCAGTAGGCTGTTTCACA